AGGAGAAGGGGCCGCTGCAGCCTGTCCCATGTGGGGGAGCATGGACCCTGCCCAAGGCTCCAGCCAGGGGCAAAGGCTTCCTTCCTCCCACCCACTCCCACCTCGCCCTGGGCTGCACAAGGAACAGGCAGGGCCTCGACGCCTTCTCACCTCCTCCTAGTTTTGGTACCTAGGGCCCCCACAGCCCAAGCCCAGAGCCTGGTCGCGTGAGGCTGAGCCGACCTCCACGCTGGCAGCAGCCACAGCCAGACTCCATACCCGAGTGGCTCCAGCCTCACACAACCTCTCTCGGGCAATCCTCCACGTCCTCCCACCGCCAGCCCCCATAGGGAGAGCCAGGAGCAGCAGAGGAAGCGGGCTGGAGCCATCACCTCCCAGCTCCCCCACAGGCCATTCACAGTTCCTCACTGATCCATCTTATGGGGAAGAGGGCTTCCCTGCCCACCCCAGCAGCTTATGTACCTGCCAGTTCAGCCTGCCTCCCCCAGGCTAGCTTCTCCCTACACAGCTCCCGGACCTAGGCCCAGCCACCCAGTGGCACCTCCCAAGGGCTCAGCCCTGACTCCAGGCCACCAGCCAGCAGCATAGATGGAGCCAACACACACACACATGCTCACATGCACTGCCTGGCTCTGGGACACCCCTCAAAGTTCTCCCCTACACCCCGCACAGCCACACACACATATGCCAGTTCCACCCAGGTCACACTCATGCAGGCACAGCCTGTGCTGGTGCACACACGGGGGTACACACGTAACCTTGCCTGTTCATAGTCCCACTCCGAGACACACTAAGGCACCTGGGAGGGGACACACCCCCAGTCATCCACAAAGACAGTCCCTCCCATAGTCATAGCACATGAGAAATCCTGGGTCTCACTGCTGGGGCCTGACGTGCCCCAGAAGCCACCGTTCAGACAAAGGGTGGTCACTGCCAGGGGCACCCCAGCCCTCTTGGTCCCCCTGAGAGCCTGGGGGAGGGTTGGAGGTCCTTCCTGCCTGGGTTACAGGACAGTGCCTGGGGCCCTGAGGAGACAAGGGCAGGAGACAGATCGGATTCAGTCAGCTCAGCAGGGCCCATGGCCTCTCCACCCCTCATGAATTTTTCAGAGGTGTCCAAGGTGCAGATTGAAACTGCCAATCAGGCGTCCCAGTGGACCCTGTTTTAAATTACTCACCATCCAGGCAGCATGGAGCCCCTAGCTCCAAGCTCCCGCCATGCCCTGACTTCAAGACCTGTTCAGGGGCCCCAAATGCCCGGACACTAAGCCTTGTACCCTGAGGCTGCCAGGAAGGTCCACCTCTCTAGGCTCAGGGTCTTCCTTGGCTGAACAGCAGTCCAGGTGCCCCAACGGGGTGTGAGCATCACCCCTCATGGGCCCCTGGCCCGGAGGCTGTACAGTGCCACCCCTGCCAGAGTCCCCACCCTGCCCAGTGCCCTGTCCATCTGCCCACCGGGCTCCCCAAGCTCACAGGCAGTCCCTGCCCAGACCCGAGCCCTGGTGGCCTCTGCCCCTACCCAGCTCCACTGTCCCCCCTGCTGTGGGAAAAGACACCCCACTGGGCCTACGGGGACACCCCCAGCTCTCTCCTGCCCTGGGTTCATAGCTCCATCCCAGCCCAGCTTGGGCATGACTCCCAGAGCTGGCAGAGGCATCGTAGCTACGGTGGTCACTGCACGGTCACTGTGCACCCATACCATGTGTGGTTCCCTTTAACTCTAATAATGGCCCCTGGGGCAGGTGCCAACCCTGGGCCAGGCACTCACTGACCCCATTTCACTGATGGAGGAATGAGGAGCCACGGTGTGGCTGCTCCATCACTCGGCTGTAGGCACCAGAGCCAGGATGCGATTCCTGCCCTCTACCCTGCCGCCTAGAGCAGCAGTTCTCAAAGTGCGGTCCAGGCACCCCAGCATCCCCAAGAACCTTCCAGAAGGCCCTGAGGCCAAAACTGTTCTCACCAAGGCTCTTCACTGTTCTCCCTTGTACAATGGAGTTTTCCAGAAGCCATAAGACATGTGATGACAATTTTGTGCTGTGTGCTTGTACATTCTTGTATTTTAATTACTTCTCACTTTAATGTCCAGTATACCAAACATCAATAACTATAACCTTGCTGACTTTTAACACTGTATAAGGGTCCTGAGGCCAGAGGTTTGCGAACTGCTGGCCTAGAGGTAACACCAGGAGCTCTTCCGACTGTGGACTGCGGTCAAGCCCCTGCCCTGCCCAGAGCTGGCAATGGGCTGGACACAAGGGAGCCCCCACCAGTGGTCAGAGGGAAAATGCTGGCAGCCTGAAAAGTGCCACTCCTCTCCAGCACTGTGGAAGCCAGGAGCCCAGTCCCAGATTTCTGCCTCCTCCAGCCTCCGCCCACACCCACCCCCACCCGTGGCCCCACCCTGAGCCAGGCACTAGGGCCTGGGGGGCATCAGACCCAGAGACAGGGGTATCTCTGGGCTGGACTCCATGACCCCACCCCAGAAAGGGGCCCAAACCCCCAAGCCACCCCACCCTCTAGTCCACCACAGCCAAGACTGTAGAGTTCCCACCTCTGTACGCCCTCCTGGGAGTCCACGAGGCTGGTAGGGCCTGTGCCCTCCCCACCCTAGAAACTGCCCCCTAGAGGGGGGCCGCATGGCCTCAGCCCGGACCACTGGCAGGCAGGGTGGGCAGAGCTGGGCAGTGGGCTGACCTCATTCCACCCACAGCACCTGGGTGACCAGGGTTCTCCAAGGAGGCCAAAGATTGCAACAGTAACCAGGGACAGGAGGGTAGGGGCCCTCAGCCCTTGGAACTGTGCAAAGGGCTTCCTTCAACTCCAGAAGGCATTACTTTCCAATCTCATCCCATCTTAGGCTGACAAATTTGTCTGGTTTTACCCGAATTCTAACTGGGCCAAGTGTGTAAGCACAACTTCCTGGGGCAGACAGGCTCTTCAGGAGCACAATAGATCTCTTCTGCCAAGGACAGTGGCCCAGGAAAGGCCCCAGGTGGGCCAGGGATCCATCAGGAAATGCCTGGTGTTCTTGGGTAGAGTTGCCACATAAAATACAGGACACTCAGTCAAATCAAAATTCCAGATAAACAACAAATACTTTTTTTGTGTAAATATGTCCCAAATATTTCATACTAAAAATCATATGGTATTTATCTGAAGTTCAAATTTGGGCAGCCTGTATCTTTATTGCTAGCTCGGCAGCCCTCGCTCCAAGGCCACTGCGGCCCAGACATTCACCAGCCCAAACCCCTCCCATCTGGGCCAGCGGGTCCCCAGCACCCCACCCCCAGAAACTGTGTTCCCACCACATTGCTATCTGGCTACGAGGTCTTTCTCCTTGTTCTGCTCCTCCACACAGCTTTGAGGGCCCGCCACAATTGGGGTTGGGTGGAGACTCCAGCAGCTCCCCTGAGGCACTCCTGGACTGGTATGCCCACCTCTCTGAATGGCAGAAATGCCCATCCCATCACCTGGGCCGCACCAAGCCCATCTTCGCCCAGCGTGGTGGAATGAAGATGCCCAGGGTATCGTGCCCTAATCCCTGGAACCTGGAATGTGACTTCATGTTGCAGGAAAAGACTGCATGTTCCATCAAATTACAGATCTGAATAGGGGAGGTTATCCTGGATCATCCAGGCAGGCCCTGAATGCAACACGTGTGTCCTTATAAGAAGAAGACAACACACATGCACAAGGAGAGGGTGACATGACCACAGCAGCAGAGAAGAGTGATGCGGCCACAGCCACAGAATGTCTGAAGCCACTGCAAGCTGGGAGAGGCGAGGAGCAGATTCTCCCCTACAGCCTCCAGGGGAGCACAGCCCTGCTGGCGCCTTAACCACAGGCCAGCAATACTGATTCTGCACCAGCCTCTAGAGATCGTGTCATTCGTTATTTGTTACAGCAGCCCAGAGACACTCACACTCTGTGACTTGGGGTCCGCCTGCCCGCCCACTCTGCAGGGGAACCCCCAGAGCCCGGTGCCCTGCTGCAGGCAGGAAAGTCTGGGGACAGGAGCCCGCCCAGAGACACTCACACTCTGTGACTTGGGGTCCGCCTGCCCGCCCACTCTGCAGGGGAACCACCAGAGCCCGGTGCCCTGCTGCAGGCAGGAAAGTCTGGGGACAGGAGCCCGCCCCTCAGCACCGTGAGCATGGTGGGGGTAATCTGCTCACCCCAGCCCCACCTCCATCTGCAACAAGGCCAGGCCTGGGCAGGGACAGCGTTCCTGGAGCAGGGATAGAGCCGCAAGGAGCAATCCGGCTGTCTCCCCTGCCCTTGCCGGCCAAGGTCAGGGCACATCCTGGCCCAGAATGACCAGGAACCCCGGTGGAGACCAAAGCCCCAGCCCCACTGACATGCCTCCCACCCACGTGCTGAGGGCCTGTGCACTGGCTCAGCCACAGGTGGCCGGTCAGCTTGCAGGGGGAGCAAGGCCCTGGGACCTGGTGAGGACCGCGGAAGCGTGATGATGGCTTGTGGGGGAGGAGCCCTAGAGAGACCCCCTGGAACACTTATGCCCCCGTCGTGGGACCCGACGTGCCCCAGAGGCAGGAGTAGGCAGCCCCCCCAGCAGCAGGCGCACACGGCTCAGGGGGTCGCTCAGTTTATTGGCAAAACGGGCACTGAGCGCGGCGGGCGCGGGGCGCTGGGGCTGGGGCAGGGGCGCTTTTCCTCTTGAAGAACTTCCACTGGACCTTGATAGCGAGCATCCAGTCGCGCACCGGGCGCCTCTGGCACACGGGGCCGCTGGCGCGCGCCG